GAGGTCAAGTTTTCTAATAACTAATAGATAATGATAATAAATTCGAGGCACTTATGTACTTTTTTATTTAATATGCACAAACCAATCACTCATATTTATTATAGTCTATATAGTCATTTTATATAGGGCGTGTTTGACATAGAGCTTTTGGAAGCGTTTGGGAGCTTCTAGCTTTTAACTTTTGACAAAACGCTCTAGTTTAAACAAAAAGTTTCGTTTGACAGTACGAGTGTTTAACTTTTGGTTTAAACAAAACGTTTCAAATCTAAAAGCTACTTCATGTAGCGTTTAACAAAACGCTACTGAGCTTTTGAAATCAATTTTCATAATTACCCTTAAAAATATATTTATATATTTATTTATTTTTAATAAAAATACAATAACGTTAGCCAGAAAATTTATAAAGAATCATGCCAATAATATTCAAAAAATTACGTTCTTAAACAAATTATTTCCTTATAGTTAAGCATATTCATGCACTTATTCTTTAAGACAATTAAACAACAATGAAACTTTAATTAATTTGCTACAAACCTGGTTTAAATTTATATAAACTAACATCAATTAATCTTGAATATGCAACGTGATCTTCCATTCAGAAAAACCCTAATCAAGATTCTTACCTTTAAATTCATGGATCAGAAGAAACCATGGATCTTTCATCTTCTTCCTTTAAAGAAACTATCATGGCTGCCACTTGACCAATACCAGGTCTCACATCAGGTGAACCATTTATGCACTTCAAAGCTATCTGTAACAACGCCACCATGCGTTCTTCATTTGCACCTTCAACTACCAACTTCTTGTCAAAAACCTCACCCGTCCATTCTTCCTTCACCACCGAGTTAACCCACTGAGTCAGATCTAGCCCGTTGCTCTGGACAGGTTTCCCTGTCAGCAGCTCGAGTAGAATCACACCAAATGCATACACGTCAAGATTGAAGGCATTGCTTTTCTGAGAACCATCTTCTACCACCATTAAACCATACTCACTAACGCAAACCTCCATATCCTGTGTAAACAAAATGTTTGAAGATTTTATGTTTCCATGAGCTATTCCATCGTTTTGAAGCTCTGCATGCATGAACGCTAGTGCTTCTGCTGTGCCACATGCAACATTTAGCCTGCTTCCCCAGTCAAAATGTTGACCGTTTTGTGATCCTGTAAGTTAACCTAATTAAAAAAAGAAAAAATTATGATTTTATGAAGTTTAGAAAAACTAAGGAAACTTACCATGCAGAAGGTTGAAGAGACTCCCATTTTGTTGGAACTCGTAAACCAGAAGCTTTTCTTGTTTAGAACAATAATAAGCGACTACAGGTAACACTTTAGGGTGTTTGACTTGATCAATTCTTTGCATTCTTTTCTTGAATTCGTCTCTTGAAATATCCCAGTCTTTGATTCTTTTCACAACGAGCGGAATCCCGCCGGTGGGAATGACTTTGTACAGGCTTCCATGTTTCCCTCTTCCCATCAATTCCGCCGGAGCTCTGAGCAGATCTTCAAATCTCATCCCGTTAACCGCCTCCACTGGACTTGAAAGAACAACAAGCGAAGCTGAAACACCGCCGTTTTCAGCCGATGTAATCGAGAATTCCGACCTGTTCTTCCCGCTTGAAATAACACTATCGTTAACTCCCTTCTTTTCAGAGTCAACACTTTTCGTATCTTCATGTTTTTCTTTTCTTTTGAGGAATAAGAGAGAAACTAAAACCAGAACTATCAAACCAAGAATTGCGTAACCGGAGAACATAAGAATATTGTTTAAGTTTTTCTTTCTTTTCTTCACTGGACACGCCTTCGGCAACTCCTTCCCGCACAAATTCGGGTTACCCAAGAAACTGTTAGCGCCAAATTTACCGGTGTCATCGGGAATTGAACCACTGAAATCGTTGTTGGACACATCAAAATCTTGAAGTTGGTGATAATTGAAGTTTGGTAGTTGCCCAGTAAAACGATTGTCCTGGGCAAGAAAGCTTAATAAGCCGGTGATTCTTGGCATATCCGGTAACTTACCATCTAACTCGTTGTTGGATATATCGATTCGTTTCAAATCGGCCAAACCGGTAAGGGAATCGGGAAGGCTACCAGAAAAGTGGTTTCCGGTAAGGTATAAATGCTTGAGCTTTTTGCAGTTTGATATCTCCGGTGACAAGTCTCCGGTGAGATTGTTGAACTTGAGGCTTAGTACAATAAGTGAAGTTTCTTCGCAAAGGGATTCGAAATCGAGGGTTCCCGTTAGACTGAGCTTCTCAAGAACGATTTTTTTCACGGTTTTGTTTCCGGTGTCACACGTAACTCCATGCCACGTATTCGTGCAAGGATCTGATGAAGTATTCCATCCCCAATTCGTGGTGTTTTGGATGGTCCGAGGAGGACCAAGTGCGTTCATGAAATCGACCAATGCATCTCTCACATCATCGTCCTCCATCTTTCCCACTGAAAAAAGAAGAAAGAAAACAAAGGAAACGCAGAAAATGGGTTGAATATTCCGACCCATTTCTGAGTAAGAAACGTGAAATATGACTACAGTACTTCTATTCAGTTTTGATTGGAAGAACTTGCATTGTACACAGCTGAATTGTAGCAGGAGTAAAAATGGAAACAATCAAGTTATATGATGCAAAAACAGTTGGCTGAATTTACAAAGATGAGATGTAATCAAGAAATGAAAGCTGTGAATGCCTAATGGAGAGACGTTAACGAACGTTTGAAATAAAGTCAATATAAACTACAAAAATGTTTGGCCGGCTTAAATTGGTTTAAAAAATTATCGTTGCCGGCTTTTAAACTAACGTTGTTACTTGTTTCTCTGATTGTTGAGGTTATCGGCGTACTTCTTGTAAATATGTGTAATTGCCGTTCGATGCTTATGATAACAGAGTCAATCTGCGAGCTTCCATTTGTTGCCTTAAATCTTTGATGAAAAAACTCTTAAATGTCAACAATTGAAAACAAAACTTATATAAAATAACCATAATATGGGATTGTGCCAGTTTCAAGTCTTTCTTCGTATTCATAATGATAACGTGCCCCTTAGCGTGGGCCAGGAGTAGAGATCCCTTGGGCTCGAGGACCCCTAAGCTGGCTTGGCTAGACCCATCATAACCCCCCCCCCCCCCCCCCCCCCGCGCGGATGTGTTAATGGACCGCCACCTCTTGTGCAAACACCGGCACCCCTGATGAACAACACTACCAACAACCCAAATACCACGTCCCATACGTCAACCTACCCGATGTTCACACCGGGAACTATATTACCACCACCATTACGACAATACTAGCGGCCCTCCATAACTCAACAACTCACTGTTCCATTCCAACCACAAAATTTCTATGGCCCAACACCACCAATCCTGGCGGCATACAACAATATGCTGGTGCAATCATACTTGACAATGCAACAACCAAACTACCACTATATCCAACAAACGCCAAACCAAGACTGCCTCTCATGAAGTGTCACATCTTCATTTGTGAAAGAACTCCTATAGTACGAGATCCCTAACACCGTAAAGCTGCCTCACCTCAAAACCTACAACGGTACCATAGACCTGGACAACCACATAGACACATATGAGTGGACCATGACATCCCTAAAGCTCAATAAACATTTATGGTGCACGTATTTCCCCACAACCCTCGAAGGAAACGCAGGGACGTGGTTCAAAACACTCCGGCCAGGGAGTATTTACAACTTTGGCCAGCTAAAGTACCTTTTCTTGACCAATTTCATGCAACTGCACAAATACAAAGTGGATTCCCATTCCATCATCAGATGCAAACAAAGAGACAAAGAAACAATCAAGGACTACTTTGCTCAATTCATTAATGTAACTCTAGACGTCCTAGGACACGATGAAGGACTGATAACAAGAGCGTTCACATGGGGTCTCCTTCCCGACCTACTCTCCCAGATACTCATGGGAAAGAAGCCTCGGACGCGAGTGGAGTTGAAAGAAAAAGTAGAACGATACATGCGACAAGAAGAAGGGGAAGTCTCGAAAAAAGCGTACCTTAACGCCATGGAGACCCCCGCCACGAAGCACCACCACCAAAATCCCCATCAGAACAATCAAGGGGGAAATGGATACCACAGGTGAGACAGACGTTTTAGACCCTTCGCAAGAGATGACAGATGGGGGCAGCGGACAGAAGTATACGCTGTCACTGATAAACCAACGACCAAAGGAACAAAGACACACTACTACGAATACCACAAAAGCAGAATGCATGACAATCAACTGTTCAATCCTGAAGCGAGAGATGGAAGAAAAACAGTTAAAGGGAAATATAGTAGAGATGTCTTAAAGCCTACAAGCCAAGTTCGACGCAGAAAACCCCAAGGACAACACAAGAGGAGAAAATTAACGCCAAGAGATCCTGATGATATGCCACAAAAGAGGAAGGACGGAACACACGAACAACGTAAGCAACATTATCGAGGCAATGCAGGGCCTGACTTTCTCGACTTCCGACCTAAGCCCAACCGGTTGGAGAGGAGAAGACCCACTAGCAATCCAAGGGTCCATCCGAGACACTGTCATGCACTGTGTGTACGTCGACACGGGAAGCTCGGAAGAATTCACATACGAACATTGTTTCTGATTTCTCCTTGACATATGGAAGGAAGGCCTAAAATCATCAATAGGCAAACTGACAGGCTTCACGGGACACAGCCTGTGGCATCTAGGTATGATTCATCTACTATTTACACTCACTAGTCATGACAAAACTAAACGCAAGATGGCCCACATAGACTTTGTCTTCGTGCGACACCCATCCGGACACAATGTAATACTGGGACGAACCGCCTTGCTCTCAAGTTCGGAGCGCTAGGGATGGTCCTGGCCACACCCCCACGATCTCTAAAATGCTATGAGATCATGCAACCAACGGAAATTTTTAAGGAATCAAAGATACCCCAATCATAATTATCAGAAGGAAATGAAATCATCAAGAGGGAGCACCCATACCAAATAGTAAGTGTTAGGACCACTTTTCCTCAGACAACAACGCAGGCATTGATAGAACTCCTAAAGAAGTACATGCACGTATTTACATGGACACCAACAGACATGGGAGGGGTCGATCGAGGGGTCATAGAACATAAGTTGATAATCGGACTTGGAAAAAAGGAGATAAAGCAGAAGAAACACATCTAGGGGGGGGGGGACTAAAACTGTAACACCGTAAATTTTCAAACAAAATTTTCATTTTAAAATCACATGAATCTCATCAACACAATTTACAAATCCCCAAAATGACAATTTATCAAAAACACATATTCATAATTGTTTAAAAAAATATAGGATCCTCAAAAACATAATTCCGTCTTGTGTGTACAATCAAGCTAACGCCTTCCCATGATCCTGAGAAGTACCTGAAACACATAACACATAACACGGTAAGCATGAAGCTTAGTGAGTTCCCCCAAATACCACACATATCTCATTAGCCTCTCATGGCTATATCTCGAATAAGACCCTCCGATCAATGTGTCTTAGTGGGACCATCCGGTCCCACAACTCGGGCAGACCCTCCAGTCCTAACACAGTAAAGCTCAGAATAATACACAACATAAATAGCAAAGACATAATGCGGGATATCACAATACTCAATATAAGCATACAAGACCCTCCGGTCACACAAAATTACCACTCAGGGTTAGTATAGTGAGAAGACACACCTCATAAGCAAGCAAAATAAACCTCATACACGAATCACCGGTCTAGCCTCCGCCTAACACATACCATAATTATCTCTAATTAATAAATGACCCTCAAATAAGCTTGGCTAAACCCACTACAAACTCACGGAAGGAGAAAATACCATTTTACCCTTCCATGGCCTCTATAGTTCATAATTTGACCAAACCCTAAAAGTCAACAAAATTCAACTGCAACGCGTATGCCGGGCGTAAAACCCCTTTATGATGGGCGTACTACCTCACCGTGCATGCATCAGGGATCCTTGACCTACGATGCGCTTACTGGGATTATGCTCGGCATACGTCCCAGACTTGTTCTTCCCACCTTCTTGGTCTTAATCCGTAAAGACCATAGCTCTACTCTCAGATCCGAACTCCCTAAAGGCTCGTACTCCATAAAGTTCATGACTTTAACCCTTTGCATGGCTGAGAAAGTCGCAAACCCAAAAACTCTCACTCATTTCTGCTAAAAATGCTCATATCTCATGCATGGGGTGGTTTTGATGTCCAAGACTCCATTTTTATGATTGCACTCCATTAAAAACACTCGAAGGGACAAATATTAGGCTCTGGAGTTCAACAACTCATAAAGCTTCAAGCTTTGGGACCAAAAACCCTAAAATGGACCATAATATGCACAAATAAAAAAGGATGAGAAAGCTCTGAGCTTTATACCTTCAAATGATGCTTCAATCATAGAAAAGCCCAGATCCAAGGCCTGGACTCCAACTCTATTCTCTTCAATGCTCCTTCTTCACTCCAAGGAAACCACAAGAACACTTTGAAGCTCATAAATGGTCACTCAAGCTCTAGGGATGGAAATTAGGGTTTTGAGAGGGTTGAGGGCTAGAAATGATGCCGTCATGTTCCTTAAATAGGGACATACCCCACAACTAGGGTTTTCACTCTGAGCCTAGTACGCCCAGCGTACCCTCTGGTATGCTCAGCGTACTAGGTGGCTTCCACATCCAAATCACGCACATGAATACGCTGAGCATACACATGCGTACGCCCCGCGTACTCAGCTGCCACCCTTTTCTCAAATAAAGGACCAAACTTGATAATTACAATAAAACAAGGGTTAATGAGATGTACATGTCTCGGGGTGTTACAATTCTCCCCCACTAGAATCAGACTTCACCCTCGAAGTCATCTTCTGGAAATAACTCCGAGTACTGCTCGCGCATCTTAGACATGGCTCGAGCAGCTACATAGGCCATATTCTGTGAAAGGGAAAAGCCACCCATGGCATCCATATCACTCATAGGCACTGGAGTAAACGCATGAACTAAAAACTCTAGAGCATTAACACGAACATATAACTAAGAATCAATGAAAAGATTCCAATCTAGGAAAAAAGCAGAAGCACTAGGACCATCAAGCCCATGTGACCCCTCCCCACCCCCACCCACAAAATATGTCTCATGGTGTGAAACCTTTGCACCGCCCCCGATGAGCAAGGATTGGAATGAAATTTGGACAAGGTAGTCACTGTTGGATTAGGTGTCTAAGTTCATAACTATTTTTGGAATGTACTTGACCCGGTTGGCATGGTCCATTTGGGTTGCATGACATTGCAACACTTGGATAAACTAAATGAGAGAAATCACACTTAAGGATTATTAATATATTATAAGTTCTAATATATTAATAATATTATTTAATTAGTATTGATCAAAGAATTAATTAAGTGATAAAAAAGATACTAATTAACTATTTGGGGTTGATTGTGTATATCATCTATTCTTGTATAGTGGGCTAATGATCCATGGTTTATATGAATTGGGCTA